ATCCATACTCCTTCAGTAAGAAACTGTTAATTCTCGGAAAGCGCTGGATTGTTGGAGGCTTCTGGAATGGAATGAGATGGGCAGCTTTTGTGCAATGTCTTAGTATCCATTACATGTACCTCATGTAATGAAGCGTGCACATGGGTGTGGGGGGCACTTCCGTGTTTCTCAATATTTATTTTCAAATCCGCGTTTTCGATTTCTTATATTGGGTTGTTCCACAAGTTCTGGCCGAATTACTTCATGTTGGTTTCTTTAGATTTTTATTTTCCCTGAGGAATAATTGATCAAAAATATAACCACCATCTTGACCCCTGATATACATCCATTTACTAGGGAATGAATGTATGCACTCCTGCCAGAACGAGTGAAGCTGTGGGATGAAGAGTTCGGAGGGGTCCCTTTTTGGAAGTTGTAATCCTCGATGCGGGGGTCGTACTTGTCAGGGTGGGTCATGGGGGGTCGTATTCGTGGGGGTTAGTAACGTCACTGGCATCTTAGTGCAGAGGTGAGAGGGTGTAGCGCAGCAGATAGCAGGGATAAGTGAAAAACATAATATTCTTTGCAGGTTCAGTCGCTCCATTCCTCTACCTTTATGAGAAGGATGCATTCTTGAAAGTAGTACAAAGAATGAAAGCGCGCCTCGCAAAGAACGGGGCCACATGGCACACGCTGGTAAAGGCACTTGCTCTATCCACCGCTCGTTCCGTAGTCCTCATTACCTCATTGAGAATGACACCGTTGTTCGGGATGCTGTCGCAAAAACGACAATAGTTTCGGAAAGACTCTGGACATATGAAGCTGTTCCTTAGGCAATATGGACTATACTGAGACGAGGTCGGACGATAGCTATTGCCCCTTTTCTTGACGCAAACATCTCCTCAACTAGAAAATGTAGAAGAAAACGAAACAGGCTGTTAGGAAGCGCGAACCTTCCACTTTCCATATTTGTCTATCTTTTTTCAATGTCCTACGAAATTAGTAAGATATTACCTTTTAAGTAGGCGAAAACCCGCATGAAAAATTCAGCATCCTCGACGCTGCCTCGACAAAATTTGAGAGACCCTATCTCTTCGAGTGTAAAGATTTTAGATCAATTTCAATATTGCCCGGTAGTAGCAAATCCAGCTCTATCTAACCCTACCACATACTGCTCCAAAGGTTATGAAATGGGGAATGGAACCTTTTCATCGAGAGTGTAGATTTCGACGTTTCGAGCGGGGTTTCGGCAAATCTGACCCACGGATAAACCGCGCTGCAACTGAATGCTTTGCTGTACATTAATGGAACTCGCTTATTCACATCAAATCAAAGTTAGAGGGGTCGTATCAAGACCCCGATCTGAGGGGGGGTCGTACTGATGTGACCACGTCCTCGACACGATTTTCACCCTGCTCACACGTCTCTGCAACATGGGGTGCGCTTTCAATGGTACGGCTATGCAAAGCCATAGACTTCAATTTTGATAGGGTCATCAAAATTGTTTACATCACACTATTCGAGAGTAGCTTTGGATAGATTCGTGCAAGTCTGATGCAAATCTTCCTGAATTGCTGGGAACTGTGACTGACAGCTGTCAAATAATGAAGTATCTGCTTTTCTTTTGCGATCTCAGGAATGGGCTGAATCGGTCGCTGAGTTTTAGTGGACTGAGTGCGAGTTCTCTACCGCCGTAGTGTACTTATCAGAGCGGAAAACTTACTTTACAAGAGATGTCAAGGGCTTGGTGCGAACGCACGCTCTCTTTTTATTGAGGTCATCTGAATGCTTCTCATATATACACGGTGGAAGTTATTGACTGTGGGTTTGTTTAGATGGAGATAGCAGCTGATAAAGGGGCCTATAAATATCAACGGACGGAGCTCGTAATAACTTCGTATAGCATTGGCAAAATGTCGCTCACCGCTGATCCACCTTCGGCTACCGTTGCGGCTGCTGGTGGAACATTAACACACAACCTCGTCAACTCTGGTACTGAGAAGATGATTTTTAAAGTGAAGAGTTCCAACAACACAGAGTATCGTGTGAAGCCGGTGTTTGGATTTGTCGATGCTGGAGGATCGGCACCACTTGAAATAACGCGACTGGTAGGCAGCGTTTTTCCACGGGGTTAACTCGATCCTGTCGTTACTTATAGTAAAAACTTCAGGCAGGGCCACCGAAAGAAGACAAAATGGTAGTTCAGTTTGCGCCAGCGCCTGCGGACGCTACGATTCAGCCGCGCATTGCGTCCGTGGACCCGTAAGTGGGAACGTGACAATACCAATTTCTGCCACATAAGCGAATGCGAATGAAAGATTTCTGAAGTTTTCAAATTACCGATAAAGTCATATGTCGGTGTTTTGGTGGGCCAGTCTCATCCGGTAAGAGGGGGCATTGCGGTGCACGGTCTGCTCTAATGCCAATTTGGCTCAAGGAGTCCTTTAAAGTTACGAGCTGCTATCAGCTTTTTTCCTATGTTATTTCTTCAGGTGTTTTGTGTAATGTATGTATTCTTGTACTAGATGACATTAACGTCTACGAAAAGTAATATTCACCTAGTCAGCAGGTCAGGACTAAGCCTAGGAGGGGGAGGAAGTCCCCCGGGGAAAACCAAGATTGCTCACGGACCCGGGGCTCCTTCCTTCTAGGGCTTAGTCCTGAACGTCTACAATAAAATAATGTGCTTTCCATGGTTTGAAAACGGTCAAGATAGCTATGCCCCCCCTACTGGATGAGACCTTTTGGTGTTCAAATTCAAGATTTTTTGTTGCATTTGAGCCGAGACCGTGTTCATACTCGGGCACTCGGTCGCTCGACTTGATTAAATCGCGCGATTGAATCGAGCAATTGAGTCGCCATGAATTCATGCACCTTCGTGGACTGTCACAGAGGCTAGGTGTTCGTCCAGGGAGCAGTAGTTGATCAAAGAATCCACAGGGCCGCGATGTCACTTACTGTCGCGCATTGTCGCTTGCTGCGCGCTGAGTGGGAGTTGGATGAGAAGCAGTTGCTGATGGCCGCATCTATAAATCGAGAGGGGCTCATAAGCAACCCTACGCATAGAACTCACCGGATTGTGGCCGATTGGCTGGCTACTTGCCAGGGGCGCCGCACGCTACACGTGTTGCACAACCATCTAGGATTATAGTTAACACCGTTGCCCGATTGAAGTAATCATTCGGTAAAGACTTACATTTAGCGTTTCACATGAGCGGAGCGTGATTTAGTCACTTAATTCAATCAGGCGCGTGTATCGGCGATTATGAACGCTTTCTGAGCTAGCGTTCGCCTAAACTCATGAGGACAATGCTGTCGTCAACACTGATCTTATGACTAGTATGCGCTGCCATATTCTCACAGCAGAACCTGTAGTTGAAGACCTAGTATCAACGTAATCTCTCCTTCAAAAAGCGAGAAAGTGTCGGGTGCAGACCAAACACCACAACTGACGACGGCCTCCAAGTAAATCTGGTTAGAAGTTGTTCATAGTGATAGCTGATTTCTGGTAAATGATAGTTGTAATTAGTGACAACTGATAGAATACAACTGCAACAGGCTAATCATTTCATTGGCAGAAAACATTAACATTTTGTGGAGGCCGTCGTCACTTGTGGTGCATGGTCTGCACCCGACACTTTCTCGCTTTTTGAAGGGGAGGGTGGTTACGATGACATCAAAAACCTCGAGCAGCCATAGCATGAGTTTTTTGAATTTCTGGCAGCTGCAGGTATGACGAGTTGGCGTCTCGATTTTCCAACAAGGTGGTGTCAACTGCTACGGTCCAACCTTCTAGGTATGTCTAGGTACTCCTCTTACGAGGAAGGTCTTTCAGGAAATGCCAAGCTTTTCTCAAAACGGTTTTTTGCATGATATAGGGGCACATGCATGGAACACAGAACCATAGTTCATTTTTCCTGAGCGGCCCTCTGAATACCAAAAAAGGGGTGATGAAGTGGTCCGTGGTTCGAATCCTCGCAGTGACAATTTTTTGCATTTTGTGTTGGCGTTCCAAAATTCGCGAAAAAGGGCGTCAGCGTGAATAGCAGATGTCATATCTATAATTAGGAGCAACAGCAACCTTCATACGTAGATTTTGACTAAAAAACTGGTGGAGAAAGTTGCGACACCAAAACGGCGCCGTTGTAGCGCCCAATGGCGTCATAGCGAATTCAAATGACGTTTACGCCAAAAACTAATAGAATATTCGTAATCAGGACGCCGAATAACCCCTAGCCCGAAAGTTTCAGGGAAAATTAAGATTTCGTCCTAACTTCGAACAGTTGGACCATGGGTCAGTAGCCCGTCAGGCTCATTGGTAAACAATTTGGAGGCGACCTTCTTGTCATTTCTTACGGAATGAGAGATCCTTCCCCGTAATAGACAATGGTAGACACTCAAGCGATGGGTGAGAAGACAGCAATGACTATGTCATTAGTTCTCCTCCTTGTCAAACACTGGCAGGATGGACTTCTGGTCATAATTCTGGCTGGGTCTACTGCCGATGGCTAGATCAGCTGCGAAAAACGCAAAGTTGTGTGAGACTTGCCCTGCGAGGGAGAACCTCGGTTTCCGTGGTAATTTCTAGGAACGGACCCCTCCTATTCCACGTTAGCCCTTCTCCAAGCCTTCCGGGGGCAATTTGTTTATGAATTTATAAAATTTCTATCGATGCACACACAAGTTTGTGAGAGACCAATACGAATTTGCAGTCGTAGGATCTCAAAACGAACATAAAATCCGCATTATATGCATGCGCAGGAGTGCACGATCACAGGAAAGTGACAATAGAGAAAAAGCAAAAGTTTGGCACTGTGGGGAGTCGAACCATCAACAACGCCCCTTCCACTTCCGATTCACAGACCGCACCACTAACCACTAGGCCACCCGACTACCGCTGACAGCCTAGCTTCAGAAGACGCTGATGAATATTCCACAATAGTTTCAATACATGCTAAGGAGATCGTTTTATTTTTGACCGAATTCCGCACTGTTCTCAATGTACCATTCATGAGAACCTTTTGATATGACACTGGTCAACGCTGTGTGCGATGTACGTCACAAAAAGCGGTTAGAACGGCAGTTCCTTAAGAATTTTTTCTTCGCTCCTTTTTTGGTATTCAGAGGGCCGCTCAGGAAAAATGAACTACAGTTTGGTGTTCCATGCATGTGTCCCTATATCATGCAAAAAACCGTTTTGAAAAAGCTTGGCATTTCCTGGAAGACCTCCCTGGTTAGCTTTCCCACCCACCGTACAGCCGTCTTCCCCACGACTTATCTATTGTTTTCTGCTCCACCCAGATTACTCGGTCTAGCCACTAATGTTTCTTTTTTCGCTGTGAGGATGCACAGCAGCAGCGCCAAGTCGTAGACAGCCCTGCCACCCTCCCACCCCCCTCAAACCTTTGCATGAAGGTCCGACAGGAGTATTTGAAACATCGTCTTTCCAAGAATTAGACAGAGCTACACTCTACCGCTAAATGTGCGGTACTTACCCCCAAGTCGTTCGAACCACTCTTTCTGCGTCTCTCTCTCCCTCCTCTTGGGTATCCTCACAGGTTGCTGCGACCGGGAGAGGGTGTATTGCTGCAGCGGGCAGGTTGCCATTCAAGGAAGAGAGCGTGAACGAGGGCAAAATTGTGCAGTGTGGACGGGTATGTCCAAGCACCACGATTTTAGCGACTTCATTTGACTCATATCCCGGCAACCTTATGTCTATGTATCTTATTTGATTGGTTTCGCGAGGACTTTTCCTCGTTGATAGCGATAGGTCTCTCTCTGTTTCTCCCCGTTCGGTAATTGCAAAGGTGAACACCATCCACGGCTTAGCACCGCGGCACATCATCGAGCGATGTCAACATTTTGCGCACTGTAGAGTGCCTCATATTGTAGCATATAGCTTCTCTGTTGGATCTCTTCTTTTTGACAAACAGCACCCGCTCTCTATTTTTTCCTTTCTCACGCTCACTAGAAAGCAGGGCACATGGAGGGAGACTTACAAATGTGGCAGGGTAAGGGCGCGTTGGCGAAGGTTCCATATTCGCTGCTATAAACGGCTTGACTATAGACAGTAAGAGCGCTGGAGCCTTGCCAGTGCTGCCGATTGATGGGTCATGAGTGTCCTATTCCCTGCCATGTAGGTAAGTCCTTAGACGCTTCTAGCTTCACTGTTAAACTCCTTTATTCCACCAACCTTGTCCTTCCTGCCTGTAGCAGCCGTGTACTTGTCAACTGTCGTTCAGTGGATTCTCGTTTCTTTGCGTTACTTCTCCCTTCACCATTGGAAGCCTTCATCCTACTACATATAATTCGCTAAGTATATGCCGACGGGAACATATTTGATGGAGGTCAGAAAGTGATAGCGGCTGATAAGCACCGAAAAGAGGCGCCGAAAGGGAAATTCCATGAAATGCATGACGCGCATCCCAGCAACAGTAGGGCGTTGGTTTTGATAAGTGATGTAGAGGGTGGGACGGAAACATAATTGGTGGGAATCAGAAACTGATAAGGGCAGATACGGAACGGACGGAACGATATGCGTAAGAACATGGAGGTAACCCAAAAGCAGACTTTATAATGCAATTCATTTTAATATCACATCTTATGCGTTTTCATCCTCAGCACAAATTACCACTTGGCCGCTACACCTCCTCTAACGAGGGGAGGTCGTTCAGGGCGTGGAGCGCTTTTTGAAAACGGTTTTTTGCATGAAATAGGGGCAGGTGCAGTGAACACAGATCTATGGTCCATTTCCGCTAAATGGCCTTCTGAATGCCAAAAAAGGAGTGAGAATCATTTTGTTGGAAACTGCAGTTTTTACTTGTTAAAAGTGGTGTGTTTCATTCATGGCGTGGACTACTTGCGTAATGGAGGGTCTTCGTAAGGTGTGTCTCGAAAACATCGAGAAGTTTGGTCAAAATTGGAAAGTTGTCGTGGTGATGTCATGCTGTGTACTAAAGAGCGTGTGGAAGTTCCATAAGAGCATTTGGCCAACATCCTCTAGCAGCGTCGGTGGTGTAGTGGTTAGCGATGCGGATTTCGATTGGCACGCTTGGTCTGGGTTGGTGGTTCGGATCCCCGAGGCGTCGGGCTTTTTGCATTCTTTGTAGGCACTTCACGATTTTCTCCAAATAGCACAGGTGTCAAAATGGATGTGTTATTCAAGACCAGAACTATTGATAACCCAGATTAGGTAAGTTTTCACCGAAAGCAGGCAAAAAAAGTTGTACCGTTGGAATTTCGCCGGATAGCGGCGGCTCCAAAAAACAATACCACATTCGTGACAAGAGCACCAATTTACCTCTGGTGCCAACGTTTCGAAGAAAATCATCTCTGGCATCTTTGGCCTAACTTTGAAAACTTGACATAAGTAAATCTTCAAGTATTCCCACTCGCTCGGAGGCGAGCTCCGCACGGAAAACTGGCAGAAAACTACTGCACTGTGGTGACCCTCCGACCAACACCAGCTTGCTTGTCTGCTATAGTCTATTCGGCAGGAGCATCTCTCATTTTTTGAGGACTATCTAGATGATGTCATTTCCAAGAAGTTCACCGTCGAGCTTTACGTGCCACAGAGTTTACTTATCCATCTAGCAAATTTTCGAAGTCGGGCCAAAATCTTGATTTTCTTAGAAACATCGACTAGAAGGGTTATCAGGTGCCCTGATTCACGAATCCAATATTCGTTTCCAGCTCCGACATCATTTCGGGCCCCTATGACGTTCTTCGACGGCACCTTGGTGAAGTTTTTGCGTCACAACTTTCTCTCACCAGTTTTTGGTAAAAGCCCACTTGTAAGGGTTTTTGTAAGCCTAATTGTAATTATGACATCAATTGCTGGTGTTGGCGTTCTTCGGTGCCAATTTTGTGGCGTCAAATCACAGTGCAAAAATTTTGTCACCGCGGGGAATCGAACCAAGGACCACTTTCCCACCCTTTTTTGGCATTCAGTGGGCCATTTAGCGGAAATGGACCACAGTTCTGTATTTCAGGCACATCCCTCTATATCATAGGAAAAACCATTTTGAGAAAGCGTTCCACGCCCTGAACGACCTCCCCTCGTAGAGCTCTTCAAGAAGTGTACGGTGGATGTTTGAAGAAACATGATAACTTATCGCGGGTATTTCCATTTCAACATCATTAGGCTGCGTTAGTAGTTTGCCACTCCGGAGAGTGTGATAGTGCGCGACAATGAAAAAGATATGTATTGACGGGGAGATTAGGATAGTAGTAGATTAGGATAGTAGTAGAGTAGGATAGTGCGCTGACAAGATTAGATATGTATTGATCTATTCGCTTGAAGTCGCCCAATCTACTACTCTCCAGCGATTTCAATCGATACGTATCCAATCTTGTCAGCGCAATCTCCTACTCTACTACTATCCTAATATCCTATCGCCTACTATCCTAATCTCCCGAGTCGCGAACTATGAACGCGGCCTAAGCATCAAAGATTGTTTAACCGCCAAATTATTCTGACATTCGATGCACGGTGGTTTTGGTCACAGACATCACTTCTAGCTCCGTGCTCTACCCGCGCGTATCAAGCGGACAGTTAGCTAACGCATTTCACAATTCTATTTATTTCGCACCGGTGGAACCTAACGCCCCACCGACTGTCCAGCTTCACCGACGTCTACGATGTCATGCGCGCAGTAGCGTACGGAGCTGAAGTACACTAATATACACTAACTTTATCCTGGGTTGTGTCTTTACCCCTTCAACTAATGGTGGCACACAAGTTTACCACTTCCGCAGTCAAAGTCACTAGCACAGTTTCGGCACTTGAGACAGAAGAGCCTCGTTGATGGCAGATTTGTGCACAAGTGGGAGCTCTATAATTCTTTCGACAACAAATCGTCACAACTTTGAGCGAGTTACTGGGACGAGGTAATGAGGAAGTCGCACCGCTAGTCGCTGGATAGAGTGCGCAACCTTCGAGAAAGTAATTTTGAGTCTCATAGTTTTGAGAGTTCTGTTGATGACTCTAATTGCCTTAATTTTTGTATCAGGTGCAGCATAAGTAAACGAACGATGTCAGATGGGGCATTTCATTGGCAGAAAACCAGTCAGAGGACGACTCCTATCTCCGGGGTTCTGCTAGTCCGAATGGTGTAGGAGTGGTAGTAGGATATTCCTGTAATGACACATTTTTTGTGCAGTGAACGCCAACGAAAACTTGTTAGAGCAGAGCAGAAGCAGCTGGTGAGCGCAGCCTGCTGGCGGTGGTGCAGTGTTGCTAGCACAGAGTGCGGCTTGAATTGTTCCCAAGTGCTGTCCCACTGAACGTTGGCTTGTTCCACGGTTGAAAAAAATAAGGAAAATAAATTGCCTGCTTATATTTCAAAAATGCTCATCCGAGCGGAGATGGTGTGGTGACAGGAGGGGCCACTGCCGCGTTCATGGTCCCTGGATCGAATCCCAGGTCAAACCCAGCGCGCGTCAGCCAAATTTCTACAGATGATTAGTTGTTGCTAGGAGCGACTGTTACTACACAAAACACTTCGATAACTTGTTTTTAAAAAAGTCGTAGTCTAAGGGTTAAGGTGAGTGGTTGGTTTTGGTAATCCTGTTTTAGATGGCGAGCACTACTCTTATCGTTAGGCTGCGGCATTGCGAGTGTGAATGTGTTTGAAAGGAAGATCTCTGTGTGCGCAAGCCAGTGCTCAGTCAAAATCTCTCATCCTGGGCTTCCACGTATCTCTTCCAGCGTCGTCTCGTCACAAAATCATTATCCAGATCTGTCATGGAGTTGGTTTCTCTCAACGCCATATCCGTGGGATATTGACATGTCCCTGTTGGCAAATATTTATTCGAAGTGACGCCAGACAGATAACACTTCTCAAAGTATTTCGGAATTTGTTGCCCTGGTGTTTTGAATTACACGAGTGCTATGACACAACAACATTGGGACACTTCAAGGGAAATTTTTATTGCCGAGTCTTTTTAGGTAGCGCTAAGGGTAATGGTGACGTTGCCAGTAGGTTGAACTTGAGCAAACGCCGCCTGGGCGTCGGTAGCGTCAGCAGGCGCCGGTGCGAACTGCACAACCAACTTGTCGTCTTTCGGAGCACCGGCCTGAAACAAAAGATTCAAACAGTTGGAGACGAGGCTATTTTACCTTCAGACTCCTGGTCTTTATCGATACGGCCTGAAAAGGTGTGCGGTGCCGACATGTAGGATCTGTGGTGCAGTTGCCCTAGGATTGCTTCCACACATCGAGCCTATCGTTTATGCCGGGGCGCTCATGTTCGGGGATGGGGACATTCAAAACAGGATATTTGAAAGCAGCTGGTAAGTACCACTAAGGTTAAGCTCAGAACAGGTGATTCTCATTTACTTGGATGTTCCTTCCCCCCTCACGCGTCCTCAGCTCCTTTTATGCATTTCGTATGCTGAGGTCGATAAACGGTCGTTTTAGCCGATTGTGCTCCATTGCCAATTGTGCATCTGAAGTTTAGAGGTTTAACCTTCAAAGGAAAATCACTCAATGAATGTGAGGGCTTAGCTTGCAGTTTGTAGTGAGCTTGCAGTTTTGGGCGGGATCGGCCGTTCATTGTACTGAGTTCAGCGAGGGGTCCGTGCTGGTGGAATTTGAAAGGATTCGTTGCTGTGCAAAGAAAGTGTGGGTTGTTGGTGGGTGTTCTCAGCTTCGACGAGTTCTCATATTCACGAATAGAGCGCGAAATAGGCATCAAAGCATTCATTTCTTTAGACATATTGCCACGCCACTCCACGCGCTCCTGCAAGGCTGCCGGTGATGGCGGCGAGGGTTGTGCAGAGGCCTCTTCCAGATGGGCGTGAGATCTTGAAATTTTTTTAAGGAACAGCGTGCGGTTGACCCCGGTGGAAGTCCTATATCACAAGAACTCTTGTAATAACGATGATTTAGGGTAATCATAGGGTCTCTACCATCCCCTACGCCCGGCGCTGGTGTCGTCGGATGGGGCATGGTTATGCGGACTGAGCCTAGGAGAAGAGGAACTCCGGGGAAAACGAAGGCTATTCATACATGCCCTCTTCTAGTCCCTTTACTGCGGCTAGACGGTGTAATTAGCTCATTGCTCCATATCTGTCCTGCTCAACTAATGATAACGATCGTAACAGGGACATTGACGGTCATGCATAGGCTGAACGAGTCGATTCTTCTTATTTTGAATGAAGAAATAACAGTGCCATTTGCGATCTTCATAAACAACAGCTTTCAATTTCATCCAACTTCTGATAACACTCGGTGGTTTTGCTCTGCGTAGATTATCTCCGACTTCCATCTGAAGCGGATTGCTCACAACGAGTTCTACAGATCTAAGCCATCCTTTCCCTGCTTTTAATTATTCAGAGCGATTGTGGCTCTACACGCAATGAGGCCGCAACTGCCTTGAACCATTGTTGGCCATGTTGTTATTAGACTGTATTCTATGTTATGAAACAGGTTTCTGGTGTTCATAGCGAATGTACAATGAAGAAGTTGGCTCCAGAACGTGTTTTGCAAAAGCTGAATGAGTTGGGATCATCACATTATTCAGGATTGGGTAGCGCACTCCTAAGATTCGTGAACTTACGGTCCCTGCAGAAGCACCCTTTATCACTCGAAGAAAGTATCACAAAGGGCAGTGGCATATGATCCATGAGGATTGCAATCTGTGCTTTCTGGTTTTGGTAGCCCAAAACAGACAGTCCTACTTGATCCCAAGACCCTTGTATATTGAGTGAATACGAACGTGACTTACCAAACGAGTAACCTCAATGCTAGTGTTTCCAGAGGCGTCGACGAATCCGAAGACGGGATTCACACGATACTCATTGTTGTTTGAGCTCTTCACCTTGAAGATCATCTTCTGATCGCCCGAATTGTTCAGCTGATGAGTTGATTTGCCACCAGCTGCTGGAACTTGAGCTTGTGCTGGTTCAGCTGTCAGAGACATGACTTCAAATGAATAAACTACACCGCATGAATCACTTTTATATCATTATTCATACCCTTATTCTTGTTATCAGCTCATTGCGCATTCATCATTCAGGCTTCTGAAAGGTTTTAAAGCGGCGAGCTAAATGTAGTGGTTATCTATTGATATATGTGCACTTTGTACACAAATGGACTGCTGCAGTACACCAGAGCAGACTGGAAGTCATGAGCTGTACCCTTTCAATTAGTTCACCTCCAAACAACTATCCAAGATGAGGAAAGCGGCTCGCAGTCACGTGTATTTGCCGTGTTTAGCGCATTTGCCTAATTGAAATGTAAGCCAACTGGCAAGGAATGGTCAATTGGTCAGTCTGGCCACTTGTAATGAGGTGTATGTGAGAACTTACCAGGAAGTAGGATAATTTGAAAAGGAGCCTGGTAAACCCAATAAAGTGGGGAACAGCAAAACCTGCCCTTCAAACTCTTCTCTTACTCTCTCTTAACTCTTCTCTTATGCTCTTGTGTCTCTAGACATTCAAGTTCTGGACATACTAAACAGATTGCTATTACTGAGTAGAGCTATGAGGACTGTCCCAGATAGTACCTCCTCTTGGAAAGAGTCTCTCGCGGTTAAGTGGTCTCTCGCGGTTAAGTGTCCCTAAATGTATGATGTGAAAAAAGAAAAGAAGTCAGCAGCAACATTATCAGGGAAGCGGGAAAGATGGTCCAATGGCTAACTGGCCATTACGAGGAGGCGCAACTTCAATCCTCAAAGTTGAATTTATTGTTATGTTAGAGAGCGAATGGACCAATTTAGGCCTCCTTCGCAATTGCACCATACAGCTAGATATGAAAGAAGATAACTTGGCTGGGCTCTGTGGACGTAAATACTTTTGACATGAACGCCGGAGGTGGCCGATACACGTCAGCGCTCGCTAATTTTAGCACTGAAAGGTGCTTGTGCCTCTGTGATAATGTTGAGCCGAAACTTTTCGTTACCTGCGTGATGGACTCTTGAAGCTCTGGTTGTATTTCAATAGATCATCTTATAGACAGCTTCGTCAGGGGTAGCATGCAGATAACGTCGGTTCGGAATGACAAAAATGCTAAGTTAGGGAACCTTGAAGCAGGAAGGTCAATCGTTGATCAACTGCCATGGAATTTCAGTCACAGTTGCCACGAAGGCTATTTAGTGTTACAGTTAGAAAAGCAGGTACCGAGTCAATAACTCTGTTTCTCATTGATCACAGCTGATTAACCTTTTTTCTCAGCGTGAACTTATCATGAAAAGGAGCAAAAACCAAAAAAAATAGCTATAAAAACACTGAAGAAATCTGATCTCGCCAAAATCACGGCACAGGGATCATTAATAGTGAGAAATGAGATAGTGGTACTAGGGAAGCTCCTGGTTAATTGGTTAATCCAAAAATGCAAAATTTTAGGGTGACCTTATATGAAACAAACTGTATGAGTCCAGTTCACACAGCGACCTATACCTTAGGTTCAGGACCAAACGACCACTGATTCTTCCGGATGTTCCATCGTCAAATAAACGAGAAGAAATAAGGATAAGTTGACGAAGATTACCACTCGTTTTTCTTTGAGCGACACTCAGCTACGATTTGGAAAAAGGGCATAGAGAGGCCATCTGCCCATCGAAAGGGTGAGGCACTCCTACAGTGGATACGCAGTTTATCCATTTGCCAGTTTTCTTACTTATAACTGTCTGCTTTTTTTGAATATCAATAGCTATTTTTACTGTCCCTTTGTCAAACACCAGCATTTTCCACATAACTTATGTCTCATCAACATCAAAACGTTCCTCTCTCCTCTTCTATGCTACCCGTTCCTATCAATGTCACCTCTACGCCACCGTTAATGCTTGTGGGTAAGGCTACATATTAGTTCATTCTATAATTTTTGAAGACACCCTTGGATGTTCTCGATTCAATTAATAATTTTATTTCTTTGATGTATGATACTAATATATAAACCAGAGTTTGTTTGTCTGACCGCTCCCCAAAAATTCGCAAGTGTCCCCCACATGTTTATAATTCTTCCTTCAAAAATCACCTAGGGAGGGCGGGTCAAGTTTGGAATGGGTAGAGTATGAGTCGCTCTATAAGGGAAATATATTGGTCATGGGAAACTCCACCCACAGTGGGCGGGGCATGCGCCCAAATAAGCGGACTAAGCAAAAAATTCATTTAATTCGCTTCAAAACATTTCAGATACCACGAGAAATAAGGGCTAGGTAGAGCGTGAGTCACCCCTATCATCCTATTAGGTTGTCTCATAAGTGATGTCGTTTTTTTTCAACCAAAAAATTTTCATCTAAATCATGAAACTTTTACATCGTTTTATATATCATT